TGTCTGTTATGCCCCTGACCCTCGCCCCCTTACTTCAATGAATACTCTGTATGTGTGTATGTGTATACTCTGAACTCTAGTAGGTGTGCAGTAATGCAAATACTACGTGCGATAGTTGATAGTCGATGGTCTTTAGAATCCTCTTCGGACAGTCCGTGAACCCTATTGAATTCAATAGGCCCGATTGAATTCAATAGGTTTGGTATATACTTAAAGCTACTTGTCCAATGAATGCCAAATCCGGGAGCTGTGTGTGCTGTCGCCTCACCCATTTCCTTCTTAAAACTGATGCTATCGAACCGCTGTGTTATCCGTTGCAAATTCGGACAACAAACAAGGGCGATTCGATAGTGCCGATTTTCCGAAGGGTTTGCTTCAAAAAATGATGCTATCGAACCGCTGCGGTATCGGTTGCAAACACGAACAACAAGCAGGGGCGGTTCGATAGCATCAACTTTTCCGAAGGGTGTTGTTTCAGAAAACTTGGTGCTGTCGCACCGCTGCGTTTTCCGAAAATGAAATCAGCGAAAGGCGGTTCGATAGTACCAAATTTCATATAGGGCATATATGAGCTATATATGGGGTATCACATACCTGGGGTATTCTACAAGGTGTTCTATAAAGTATTCCAGGTGCTATTCTATATAGCCTACTGTATATATATATATACATATACATATACATATGTATATATATATAGAGGGGGCATTATATAAAGTATTCTACAGCGCATTCTATTGGGTATTCGATAGGGCATTCCATACGGTATTGTGTAAGGTATTCTTCAGAGTGTATATATATATATGAAGGTGGTGCATGTTTAGGTCTACAGGGTAGTCTATAAGGTGCATCGTATTTTTTTTATGAATTTATTTAAGGTTTGTAGAAAGGGTATTCTGTAAGGTATTCTATAGGCAATGCTCCTAGATTACCGGTTTCTTTCTTAGTTATTCAATAAGCTAACGCTTAATTGGTGAGTTCTCCGATCTTGGGCTCCTCCTGACTCCTGATTGTCCTTATTTTAACCGTTTTTTACATGGTATGCTATAAGGTATCCCATAAGGTATTCTAAAGGGACCTAAAAGGTTTTGTAGAGGATAGTTTATAAGGTATTTTTAAGGTATACATAGGGTGTATTACATCGGCGTAAGGTATTCTACTACAGGGTATTCCATATGGTATTCTATCGGGCCTTCTGTAAGACTGTAGTGTACTCCATAAGGTATTGCACAAAACGTTTTCTGTAGCCTGTATTTAGAAAGGTATTCTGCAGGGTATCCCATACAAAATTCTTTAACATAACATTCCTTAGAAGGGGTATTCTATAAGATAGTTGTAAGACCTTCTATAAGGTAGTTGTAAGGCTATTTGTCTTGGTTCATGATTTCCTTCATAGGAACCCTTACCCATAAGCTACAGTTCAACGGGGGACTTCTCAGATCTTGTGCTCCGACCGTTTTCCATATTTAGAACCCTTATCTATAGGGTACTCATAGGGTATTCTATATGGGATTCTAGAGGGAATCCTATAACGTATTGTATAGGTATTCTGTAGGTATCCATATGGCATATGTAAGGTATACAGGGGTTATCATATACAGGCAGTCGTCCAAAAGGTATTCAACAGGGTATTCCAGATGGTAGTCTTTAATGTATATGTACGTTATATCGGGGGACCAGTATAAAGTATTCTATAAGGTAGTCTGAAAGGTATTCCTGCGGTTATTCCACAAGGTATTGTAGAAGATCTTCTTTAGGGTACGTATAGGAGGTATTTTATAAGGTATTCTGTTCTTTGCATGGAACCCCCAAAGAAGCTTCGGTTCGTTCAAGGAGTTCCTAGATCCCAGATGCCGCACCGTGGCCGCCTAAACAGACCATTCGGTCCAACCCTCCTCCGCAGCGGGTAGAGAACCCAGGGGGTAGCATATATATCTGTGTATATATAGATATATAT